CTTCAGGTTCTATGTAAGGCACTGGGGATAAAGAGATAAACAAGATACCTTTACATATACAGTAGTCACCCCCCTTATCATGGTTTCAGTTACCCGAGGTCAGCCTCGGTCTGGAAGTAGATCTTTCTTCTGACTTACAGTCAGAAGATTAGTAGTAGCCTAACGCTAGGTCATAATGTCTACGTCATTCACCTCAATTCATCTGATCACATGGGCATTTTATCGTCTCACATTATCACAAGAAGGGTGAGTATAGTACAAAGTATTTTGAGAGACCACATTCATGACTCTTTTTGCAGCATGTTGTTATAATTGCCCTACTTTATTATTAGTTGTTAATCTCTTATTGTACCTAATTTATAAATTAAACTTTATAATAGGTATGTATAGGGAAAAAACAGCATATATATATAGTATCCGTTGCTATTTGCAGTTTCAGGCAGTCACTGGAGGTCTTGGGATGTATTCCTTGTGATAAGGGGGACAACTGTATTTTAGTCACTAACCAGATTGGACCTCACCATCCCAAATATGTTTTTATGATGATTTCACAGCCTAAAAAGCCTCCCTTTGTTTGCTTGGTAAACTTTTCCTGTCCTTCAACATGTAGCTCAAGTGTGCTTCCTAGGGAAAGCATTCTCTCCACCTCAGACAAAATTATCATTTCATTTCTGCAGCACTTTGTATTCCACCTTCTTAGTAAATAAGAAATAGTCCAAAATAGAAAAATTCTCATTTTATAGCTGAAGAAATACTCTCAGAGGGTAGTTTCTCCAGACCCAGACAGTGGATGACAGATCTGGACCGAGTCTGCGTGGTTCTGAAGATTGGGTCCCACATGAGGAGGCAGGACAGAGATAATGCATGGGTCCTGGGTCTTCAGCCCCAGAACTGGGTATATGACATTCAGCAGCTCTCCCAATTCCTGAGCCCTCATCTGTAAAATGGTAATTTGGCTTCTCTGCTTCAAGTGAGACGTAAATGTGAAAGTGCTCCGAAGTTGGTTTTCCCCATTTAACACAAAGAACATTATGTCAGTACTGAATTTTATGAAGCTGTGACCGTGGCATGGAAACATTTATTTTCTGCGTATAACTTTTTAACTGAGACCAACACATGGGGTTCATTAAACCGTTCTTTCTACTTGAGTATGTGCTTGAAGTTTTCCACAAAAGGAGGTTTATGAGAAAAGGCTTTCAGCTTATAAAGTGCCATGTAATTATAAGTGGTATAATTATCCTAATGTTTCTGTGCTTGTGTTTCTCAGCTTCTAGATGTTTGTTTTCCTGAAGGCAGGAAATGCCTTCCTCCTTACAGTGTCTCCCCAGTGATGACATGGCAGACTGCATGAGTGGGGAGACAAGTACAGCTTTTGCTAAGTGACACTTCTGGCCCTGGTCAAAGGACTGGCCTCCAGGCAGGAGCCACCTTAGAAGGGTGCCCTTCTGGTGTTTCAGTAACTAAATCCTGATGGCAGGGGCCACAGTGGATTTGCTGCAGGTTAAAGTTTCTCTCTGCAATAAAATTGTTAAAACACAGTTTTGAAGTGATGCCAGGGAACATTCTTTATGTGTATTTTTATTTTTATTTTTTTAAAGATTTTATTTATTTGAGAGAGAGCACAGCAAGGGGAGCAGCAGGTAGAGGGAGAGGGAGAAGTGGGCTCCCTGCTCAGTGGGGAGCCTGATGTGGGCCTTGATCCCGGGACCCCAGGATCATAACCTGAGCTGAAGACAGGCGCTTAACCGACTGAGCCACCCAGGCACCCCTTTATGTGTATTTTTAAAATTAGTTTTTGAATAGATACTACATGCACGTCGTACAGAATTTTTATTGTGCCCAGCTCCTCTCCCCAGACGCAGTCAGGGTCCCTAGGCTCTGGGTCGCCTTTCAGAGGCAGTCCAAATTGATGTGACATGCATATCTTTCATCCACATAGTTTGCCATGTTGCACTTTCCCCTCGGTAGTCTTGCCTACTGTTCATACTAATGGAGTCGCTGCCTCAGTCTGTGTACACATACTATAGTGTATGTAACCCTTTTCCTATTGATGGACGTTTAGATTGTGATGGCAAAAACTTAGAGAAGATAAATTTGACAACAGATATCTTTACAGATAGCTCCTGTATACACATGCAAGTGTATTTGTGCTTAAGTTCTTGGACATGGAATTGCTGTGCATTAAATTTCTTGGGAAAAATAAATAAAATTTTTTTGATAGCCATTGCCCTCCATGCAAGATTGTAATAATAAACTCCCCCTGCAGTGTGCAAGAATGCAGATTTGTGCTCATTCTTGCCATTATGGAGGATCAAAACTATTTGATCTTTGCCTGTCATATAGGTACAGATGGTCCCTGACTTATTGTGGTTTGACTTGGAATTTTTTGACTTTATGGTGGTACAAAAGCAGTACGCCTTCAGTGGAAACCATACTTCAAATTTTGAATTTGGATCCTTTCCAGAGCTAGTGATAGGCCCTACAGGACTCTCTAATGATGCTGGGTTGTAGCAGCAGCCTCAGCTCCCAATCTGCCACATGATCACAAAGATCAACAACCATTCTCTTCCCAGATCACCATTTAATTTTTTTTACTTTTGGTACTATGTTCACAAAATTACGTGAGCTAGCACTTTCTGTAGGTATGGTGTTAGAGGATTTTGCCCAACAGTAGACTGTTACAAGTGTTCCGAGCATTTTAAGGTAGTCTAGGTTAAGCTGTGATGTTCAATATTAAGTGCATTTTCTACTTAGAATATTTTCAACTTAGGATAGGTTTTCAGGATGCAATGCACATAAGTTGAAAATCTTTTTATTTATTTATTTATTTATTTATTTATTTTTTAATTTATTTGACAGACAGATCACAAGTAGGCAGAGAGGCAGGCAGAGAGAGAGAGGAGGAGCAGGCGGGCTCCCTGCTGAGCAGGGACTCGACCCCAGGATCCTGGGATCATGACCTGAGCCGAAGGCAGAGGCTTTAACCCCTGAGCCACCCAGGTGCCCCGAAAATCTTTTTATTTATTTATTTTTTATTTATTTATTTTTTAAGATTTTATTTTTTTATTTATTTGACAGAGAGAGGGAGATCACAAGCAGGCAGAGAGGCAGGCAGAGAGAGGGGAGGAAGCAGGCTCCCTGCTGAGCAGAGAGCCCGATTCGGTACTCAATCCCAGGACCCTGAGTCGAAGGCAGAGGCTTAACCCACTGAGCCACTCAGGCGCCCCAGTTGAAGATCTTTTTAATGTTTTCATTTGTACCATGACTTTTCAATTTGTTGGGGAGTGACCACAGAGGTGTGCAGGTTTTCTTTTTGGGGCAATGAAAATGTTAATTGAATTAGATTGTGGTGATGGTCGCAGAGCCTTTATGAGTATACTAAAAAACGGTGAATTGTATACTTTAAAAGGGTGAGTTTTATGCCATGTGAATTCTTACCTAACTAAAGCTGATACGTAAAAAAAAAAAAAGATTTTTTGTCTTTTCTGCAAACTGATTTCATTTCCTTTGTTTTTCTGTTGCTCTTTGTCTTACAGGAAATTGTTTTCTGTCTTTATTATATTACATGTGTTTCCCCCCCCACTTTGGTCATTTGCTTTTTGATCTTGATTCCTTGATTTTGCTCTTTTTTAGCCATGTGGAAAATTTTCATTTTTATATTTCCTCGCTTTTATATATTTAAATCTTTGATTTACTTGGAACTTATTTTGCCATTAATTGTGAGAAAGGGATACAGCTTTTTTATTTTCCCTCAGATAAGACCCAATTATCCCCATACTATTTTTAAAAAACTATCCCGGTTATCCCATTGATTTAAGATTACAGTTTTATCATATAGTAAGGGTTTTCTTGTATTTGGGTCTAATTTCTGGACTTCGATTCTACCCCTTTATTCTGGTTGTCTTCCTTAGCTACTACCACACTGTTTTAATTTCTTTAATTGTAAAGGTTAGTTCAGGTTTTACTTTTAAAAAGTTTTCCTGGGGCGCCTGGGTGGCTCAGTCGTTAAGCGTCTGCCTTCGGCTCAGGTCGTGATCCCGGGGTCCTGGGATCGAGCCCCACACCAGGCTCCCCGCTCAGCGGGGAGCCCGGTTCCTCCTCTCTCTCTGCCTGCCTCTCTGCCTGCTTGTGATCTCTGTCTGTCAAATAAATAAATAAAATCTTTAAAAAAAAAAAAAAGTTTTCCTGATCGTTTGTGATTATTTTTCCCCTAATGAACTTCAGAAACAGCATTTTTAAGGTTTAAAGAATTCAATTGATAATTTATGGTTATTATATTAATTTATAGATAGATTTGTATAAACTGTTTTGCCCCTTTTCTAATTTTTTTATATTATGTCTGCTCATTCCTTCAGACCAGTGTTAAATAATAGTGATCATAGAAGAAATTCTCAGATTGCCTCCCTCTGATTAATAAGCATACTTTAGGTATTTTTTTTTTTAAGATTTTATTTATTAGAGAGAGAACGTGGGAGGGAGAAGCAGACTTCCCGCTGAGTGGGGAGCCTCATGCAGGGCTTGATCCGGGACCCCAGGATCATGACCTGAGCCAAAGGCAGATGCCACCCAGGCGCCCCTAGGTATTATGTATTAATATTCATAAGTGAAATTAGTCTGGTTCTTTTGGTTTATTCCCATGTTTAGCTTTATTTTCTAGAAATAATTTTTTAAACTTTTTAACTTTTTAATCTACTGTGAAATAATTTTAGTACCATCAGTGTTCAAGTTTTGTGGTAGAATTCACCTGTGGAATTGAATGGGGCTCTTACCCTTGCGGGGGGAATAGTTATTAGAGACTTGTTATACTTCTAATGCAGTCAGTTTGTTTTCTGTTTTGGGGCCAGTTTTGGTAACTTATGTTTTTCTTGAAAATTAAACATTTTTTGTAAGTTTTTGGATGTTACATATAGACAAGCTGTAGTATTCTCGTATTTTTCTCTTACTTTCTCTGTATCTCATTTTTGTTCTTCATATTGACTTTTTTTTGTTCTTCCCCACAGGAACTGGAAATATAGTGGTCATTATGGTGAGCTACCCAAAAGGAAGAGAAATTTTGGATCTGGTGCAGAAAGGCATTGCAGTGAAAATGACCATAGGGGTTGGCACCCGTCATGTACAGGAGTTCATCAGTGGTCAGTCTGTGGTATTTGTGGCCATCGCCTTCATCACCATGATGATTATCTCATTAGCCTGGCTGATATTTTACTATATACAGCGTTTTCTATATACTGGCTCACAGTTTGGAGGTCAGGTAATTATGGGTAATTCTTTTTAACTTTACTTTTTAAAAGATAGTTCATAAATATTTCTTATATATTCCCTGAAACTATATTAGAGTTTTGTGGGTTTTTTGGACCACATTCTTAATTTCATTTTCACTCGTACTATTTCATTAATATAACTTTTTAAAAATAATTTTTAATTAGACTGTATTAAATTTTCTGTTCTGTGGGAAATTAAATATCTTTAAATGGGATCATTTTTGCTTGTTTTGTTCCTCTGAATACCCACTTTATCTTTTTCAGACATAAAGGAATAATAAACAGGCCTGAGGTAGAGTAAACGTGGTTCTGTGTTTAAAACAAGGAGAACCCTGGGCCTGAAGATGAGGCGCAGGGTGGGAGGGGCTTCCTGGCTTCTGTTGTGGGGCAACTTTCGAAGCCATTTATCTGCAGAGAGATAGTGTCTCTGTCACAGCAAAGAGGAGGGCACTTGAAGAGCCAGAGGCTTCCACAGATAGGCCTTTGAATTTCACACTTACCCTATTGTCTTAAAAAGCCACTCTTTTTGGCTTTGTAGGTAGTCCTTTCTGGTCATCTTGTACATGCTGACTAGGTGAAAACTTCTTTCTTTTTTAGGGACAGGTATTAGTAGATGAATCAGTGGGACCCCCTCTTCCCATCCTCAGCTTCCTACTCTATTGCCAATGTTTACACATAAGCATTGGTTTCTTCTTCAGGCATGGAATTGAAAATAAATATTCTTGATCAAACAGCTCTTAAGTTATATGTGGCTGTTTTATACATTAAGATGTAAATGGTAATTTTTGTTCTTTTCATTATAGTCAATTTAACTTTGTTTTTTTAAAAGATTTTTTTCTGTAAGCTTATGTGAATTTTTTAAATAATGACTTAAAATTTTTAGTGATAATAATATTTTTCCTATCTAAGAGCCATAGGAAAGAAGCTAAGAAAATCATTGGCCAGCTTCCACTTCATACTGTAAAGCATGGAGAAAAGGTAACATTTTCATGGGTTTTTTGTTTGTTTTATACTAAAGTATGTATCTGTTTATATGTCTAACTAAAACTTTCCAGTCTGTTAAATGTACATTGAACATGTGGAGTTTTGACTAGTTTGAGTTAGTGTTAACTTGCATACTTGTGTTCATTGTAGAGAAGGGTTGATAGAAGTACTCAGTTGCACATGTGAAGAGCCACCTAAATCCCTTGGCACCAGAGAAGGTAGCCACTAGTTGTATACAGTTATTTTACTTTAAATGGATAAAATTGAACTTAAAATTCATTCCTGAGTCACACTAGCTACATTCCAAATGCTTAAAGGGCCCTATTGGCTGGCTGCTGCCATACTGGATAGGACTGACATGTCCATCACTTAAGAAGGTTCTACCTGTTGGTCAGACCAAGATGACTCTAAGGAAGGTAAAGAGCTTCCAAGTTCCCTTGGACCATAGACCTTTGATACTTTAAATTCATTTCTGTTAAATCTGAGGCTATAGGGTATGTGTCCATTCTCTCTGGTTCCCTTAAATACAGGGGGAAAAAAAACTGGGATTTATAGAAAAGGGGAGGGAAGATGTACTTAAAACTACTTTTGGGAAAAAAGAAACATTTTGACATGGCCCACCTGGGACATAAAAGGTCAGAATCATACCAGAGTTTTAAAGCATTTTGGGAATGGGACATACCCTAAATCCAGAACCTCAGAATCTTAGAGGATCTATTCTTTAAGAGGAAAACAGTTGCTAATGCAGTAATAGTACTTTTTTAAAATGGTCTGTCTTCTTTGTCTTGAGATGTTGATAAGTGTGTTGACTTGTTAGGTATAGGTTCGTTCTGTTGTTTTGATTTTTACTTCTTTTCACCAAATTGTTGAGACTTCATCTATTCCACCCTCCACTCCCCATTCAAAAAAGAGAATAACTGCACTTATTTTATGTATCCCTTCTTTGGACTAACTTTAAAGCAGAAATAATACTCATTAAATTACAGATCTTTGATTTTTTTAAAAAACTTTGGATTCTGATATTAATCATTTTAATATTTTAAGATACTCTTAAATTACATTCTTCAACTATACTTTAAGATGCTCTTTTAAGTATCTTAGATACTTAAAAGTTTAAGATACTCTTTTTAAGATACTCTTAGAATTATATTGTTGGTTTCCATTCTTTCCCTAATGCCTTATACAGAAATAACAGTTGAAATTTTTTTTTTTTTTAAGATTTTATTTATTTGACAGACAGGGATCACAAGTAGGCGGAGAGGCAGGCAGAGAGAGAGAGAGAAGGAAGCATGCTCCCCACTGAGCAGAGAGCCTGATGTGAGGCTCTATCCCAGGACCCTGGAATCACAACCTGAGCTGAAGGCAGAGGCTTAACCCACTGAGCCACCCAGGTGCCCCATAACAGTTGAATTTTAACAGTTTGTGCAGGGTACTGGTTTCTTCCCATACAGATGTAGTGAACAAAAAAAGTGAAACAGAACAAAGTTTCTCATGTTATGGCTTGAGATTAGCACTTGAGGTACTGACCACTGAGGGTCATTGGGGAGAGAGTCTCCACTGAATGCCTGTGACAAACTCTACATGTATGGCACATAGCCGGTCACTTGATATAAGCATGTAATTTTATGTTCCCCTTAGAATATGTCTTCTGTTCCATAGCAGGAAATCTCAGTCTATGAATATGAATAGAGATTTATATGTATAATATACTGAATTGTCTTTTTTTTTTTTAATTAAGTCTTTGAGAACATAAGTAAATTGATAGAATCCTCTTCATGTTCAGAGCATTTGCTTTTTTTAGGATTTTTAAAAGATTTATTCATTTGAGGGGTGCCTGAATGGCTCAGTCGTTAAGCGTCTGCCTTAGGCTCAAGTCATGATCCCAGGGTCCTAGAATTGAGCTTTGCACTGGGCTCCCTGCTTGGCCAGGAGCCTGCTTCTTCCTTTCCCACTCCCGCTGCTTGTGTTCCCTCTCTCACTATATCTCTCTCTGTCAAATAAATAAATAAAATCTTTAAAAAAAATTTATTCATCTGAGGGAGAGTGAGAGCACAAGCAGGGGGAGAGTTAGAGGCAGAGGAGAAGCAGACTCCTCGCTGAGCAGGGAGCTAGACAAGGGGCTCGATCCTAGGACCCCAGGATCATGACCTGAGCTGAAAGCAGACGCTTCACCAACTGAGCCACCCAGGAGCCCCCAGAATATTTCTTTTTACAGAACATTTTTGAAAATGTCATTCTACTGTTTTTGAAAATTGTCAAAATAATGGTTAAAAAAAGATCCCTAAATGGTCTGTGAGATACATATGTGGATTTTTCTTTTCTTTTTTTCTTTTTTTAGTTTTATTTCTTTAAGTATTCTCTGCACCCCATATGGGGCTCAGACTTTTAACTCTGAGACCAAGAGTCCCATGCTCCTTTGACCACACTAGCCAACACTAGCCAGGTTCCAACACATGGATTTTCTGATGATTTTGATTAAGTTTGTACAGAAAAATGTTGTTTTCTTAAATCTACATCTTGTGCAGTTCTAGAGAGGTGTTTGGTTTCTAGTTTTTCTTTTCTTATGGACTCATTCACTATAATGTATATACACTTACAGACCAATAGGGACTTTAAAGATTATTTCATCAATTTTGTATGGCATACGATAAGTGATAATATTTACTTTAGCGGCAACATACAATTTTAAGTGTTACAGAACTTTAATATAGTCTCTGATAATAATAATCAGTTTTTACTGCTTGCTTGCGAACAAGTAATGTACATGGCTCAGTGTATTTTTTAAAATAATTACATAAGGACAGGGTAGCTGTGTTCCCGTAAAATATACTTGCTAACATTGGAGGTACATGCAGACATTGATTGGTAGTTCTTGAATCCATTCCAGAATCAAAAAGAGTCTCATTGACCTGTCTTGGTTTAGATGACCCTCTGGCTGTGCCTGCTTTGATGGGATGAGGCCAGGTGGTTCAATGTGGAAGTTACCCAGGGAAATGGGACAGGGCTGACACTACCAAAAGGGTCGATGACCCTGGGTGCTGGGTCACTCAGTGGGTTAAGTGGCTGCCTTTGGCTTGGGTCATGATCTTGGGGTCCTGGGATCAAGGCCCGCTTCGGGCTCCCTGCTGATTGGGGAGCCTGCTTCTCCCTCTTCTTCTGCTACTCCCCCTGCTTGTCCTCTCTCTCTGTCAAATAAATAAATAAAATCTTAAAAAAATAAAATTAAAAAGGTTAATGACCCATAGCTTCTTAGAAGTGGAGATTTTGTCATAAGACTGCTTCCTCCCCAGCAAGTTTTATTTCTTTTTACCTTTGTTAATTTGAAGGATGAAAAACAGTAATTTATTTTAATCTGTAATTCTTTTATTGCTAGTGAGGGGAATATTTTCAGATATTTAGCCATTTGTATTTTCTCATTTGCAAGTTGTAACCATGTTCTTTAGCAAATTCTAGTGAAAGTGCTCTTGTTTTGTTTTTAATGATTCTAGAAACAAGTAGCTTACTGGATATTCTCTTTACAAGTTTTATATTTGAGGGCGCCTGGGTGGCTCAGTGGGTTAAGTCTCTGCCTTCGGCTCAGGTCATGATCTCAGGATCCTGGGATCGAGCCCTGCATCGGGCTTTCTGCTCAGCAGGGAGCCTGCTTACCCCTCTCTCTCTGCCTGCCCCTCTGTCTGTCAAATAAATAAACAAATCTTAAAAAAAAAGATGCATTACAAGTTTTATATTTGAAAAATAATTTTTATTACAGTAAGGTGAGCATTTGCATTTCTACAACCCTTAAAACATGAACACTACCCTAGTATCAAAACTGTTCATGTCTGATTAGGTACACAACGACATTTTTTCCTTTTCAGCCAGATTCCTTAAATAATCTCTGGAGAGTGGTAAAAAGTAAATACTGAGTAGAGATTGTGTTTAGCTTCTGGTTGTACCCTGGTATTATTAAATTTGTCATTGTTTTACCCAGGATGTTGTGTTTTATCAAGACCATGTAGCAATGATACAGTGAACTCTTTTCTTTCCTTTTTACAGGGAATTGATGTTGATGCTGAAAACTGTGCAGTGTGTATTGAAAATTTTAAAGTAAAGGACGTTATTAGAATTCTGCCATGCAAGTATGTTTTTTTTTTTTCTTTCCTGAGATGCTACGAATTACTGGATAGGTTTCTGACAAAAGTGTTAATGTTTCTTTTATGATGTGATGCTGTCACATGATCTTGTGATCATCTCATCCTTTAGGAAGCAAGCTTCAAGCCTTCTAGGGTTCTGGATTATATTACTTTAAAATTGCTTAGCAGACCTCTGGCCCTAAGGCAGACCCATTATATATCTTTGCGCGGATTGGCTTTTAGTCTTAAGCAAGATTTCATTAGAATCCTGAGCATTCTGTCATACATCTAGCCGTTCAAAACGTACATTATGTGGGAGCAGGGACACTGAAGCATGACAGGTGAAGGCCCCAGGGGGAGGGCCAGAAATGGCTAGCAGAAAGTCAAGGAGGATAGTAGTTTGCTGTTATTTGCACCCTGGGTTTTAGTTCTTCTGGGGTTACTGCAAAATAAATATTTCTCACTTTAGGTACACTAGGGGCTTTGCTTTAGCAATGGGAAGTTGCGATTTCCTTTTTTTTTTTTTAAATAATAGGATACTTTAACTGATAACTGTTTAGAAGAAATGGCTGTTACCAGAAGTGTATCTAAAAATATATTTTCAGTCAGACCAATTTGAATTATGCTTCCCACCTATTAGAAGGTCAGAAATTGATATATAGTTATGGTTTCCTTTATGTTTACAAAGTAGTATATATATAAATATAGTATATTAAATTCTCAGTAATTCTGTAGTGAAAACAAATGAATATCAGAGTAACAAAAGTGTCCAGAATAAAGATAGCTAACTTTTGTCTACAGGCATTTATATGAGGTTGGTGTGGTGGGTAGTTAATGAATTAGAGTCAATATATCCTTTGGAAAGTTTTTTTTTTTTTTTTTAAGATTTTATTCATTTATTTGGCACAGAGAGAGAGACAGTAGGAGCAGGAACACAAGCAATGGGAGTAGAAGAAGGAAAGCAGGTTTCCTACTGCTCCATTGGGAGCCCAATGTGGGGCTTGATCCCAGGACCCTGGGATCGTGACCTGAGCCAAAGGCAGACACTTAATGACTGAGCCACCCAGGCGCCCCTCCTGTGGAAAGTTATTAAAATAGGAAAGAATTTTCGTCTAAGATGGTTTAGGGCAAGTCTTTCTGACTTAAAAATGATGTGTGGAATGCAGCACAAATGAGTGGCCTGAGGCTCACTTCTTTGTAACACCAGATCCGTCCTCATGGCTGAGCTGGGTTTTGTCCTACACCCTCACAAGCAGACATGTTGCTTGTGCACATTTCCTGGTCTTCTGATCTGGGGTTTTTACTTAATTTCCCCCATTTTCTCCTGTGCTTTAACAGATTTCCCAGTAAAGCCAACATGTTTCCTTTGTGTTTTTGTTAAGATTATTCCGTTGGGTTAGTCAGTTTCAGTTTCATTTTGAGGATAGAAAGGTCAGAAGACTAGCTAGGCTAGACTATGTTATGTAATTAAATAGTGTTATTTTTAACTGCACTAGCAGATTTCAGTATGAAGAAGAGGTCTTCACACAACAGCATGAATAACGAACAGTTACTGGGTGTTTACTGTGTCCTGCACCGTTGTAAGCATGTTACATATTTGCTGCTGAGAACTGGAGTGGAGGTGCAGAGGTTAAGCAACTAGTTCAGAATTCCAGCATCATGTCACACAGCTGGTGTGGGAGCCATGGGTCCTGTACCCACTCTGCCCGACTCTTATCTTCATCCTGTGGGAAACAGATTCACTATATAGGAGGCGAAGTTAGCTAAGACAAGTCAGTAAAAAGAAAATACATAGGCAATTTTTATTTCTTCCTCAATTCTGAAAAGTTATCATTATATAAGAATGTGGAATATACAAAAATATGTTGAGACAGAAAATAAGTGTTTTTTTTTAAGCCTGAGACCCAGTGTTTTGCTGTATTTCCATTTGATTCGTTTTGTGAACTTACGTAAGATACTCTCAGTTTATTATTATTAGTTAGCTGTTGGTTTATTTATGCCACATTTATTCCTAAACGGCTTTTAAGTTACAAAGGCACAGAAAAATACAACCTAGCATGAAGCGAAAATAACCATGCTATTTTCATGGCATGAAGGGAAAATTTCCCTGTTAAGTTCCACACTCTGTTTAACTTGGAAAGTAGAATAGGTAATTACATAGAGTAAGTGAATAGAATGTTGATATGAAGTCATTTAACTTGTACTGAGAAGATGAGTTAGTAGAATGTGTTATTTCCTTTATAAGATCTAAACATTTATTTTAAAAAATTAACACATACTTAATCTTTTTAGGCATATTTTTCATAGAATATGCATTGACCCATGGCTTTTGGATCACCGCACGTGTCCAATGTGTAAACTTGATGTCATCAAAGCCCTGGGATATTGGGTTTGTTACATTTTTGTTTATATTCAATCTCTGCCCCGATTCTTCTGAGTGATTCAATTTCATTACTGACCAGAGGCAAGAGGAGTGGACTAAGTGCTCCTTCTAACATCTTTGTGGTTCCCTGAGGAAATTTTCCTCTTGATTAAAAATGAACGTTTAAGAAATCCCAAAAAGTTAATGAACTCTACTGCTTTTGTGATTATAGACTGATACGCCATATGTTTCCCCCCAGTATTTGTAATTGCTAAGTGTAATGTATTGTTATGCTGCCCTGTAGAAGGTATATATACTCCTCAGTTTTGTATAAACAAGAATTACCAAATCTTTGAAATGAAAGGAGCCTCATACATTTTCTGGCTCAAGGTGCATATTTTACATATGAGGAAACTGAAGCCAATACTTCTCGACACCAGGTCTCAGATTTCTGGGTTTGGAAATCATATCTTACTGGGGAAATTGGTCCTGTGTGGAATTTGTTCCATTGGTTTGTGGTACTTAGGTGGTCGTAGGACCTTCCTCCAAAAATGAAGACATGAGGGCAGAGCGAAAGAGAGTTCTTCATAGTAGCCAGCCAGGTGCTGAGGGCCTTACACACATTATTACCTCATACCCTCATAGCCAGTCTGGGAGGTAAGTACTACTTCTCTCCCTATTTTACTAATTAGGAACTTGAGCTTAGAAAAGCCGAGTAGCTCACCGAAGGTCACACAGCTAGTACTTGGGAATCTGTTTTCAGATACAAGTTTGTTTAATTCAAGGGTACAAGCTTTTAACCAGTAGTCCCACCTCAAAGGGGAAGACATAGAGGTGAAAAAAGCCAGATTTTTCTAGATTGTTATTTTTTATTGTTTTTAGAGTTTTCGTATAATCTTTTAACGTTTTAAAAGATTCCTGATTAAATAGCAAATAGTTTTGAACTAATGATCTTATTACTTTAGAAAAAGTAATTTAAATGTCACATACTTTTCTTATTGCTAAACGTATTTTTTTAGGTTTTTTTTTTTATAATTATGGTAGAGTTAGAAACCGTTATAGCCCCAGTAGCCCTCAAGGAGTCCTCTCATCTTCTAGCTTGGCGGGTCTTGGAAAGATAGTTGAGCGACTGCCTTGATTACCACTGTCATTTTCCATGAATTAGATTTTTTTGTTCTTTTTTTTTTTTTTTGTAAGATGTATTTATTTTAGAGTGCACACATGCATGCATGAGTGGGGGAGAGGGACAGAGAGAGAGAGAGAGAGAGAGAGAGAGAACCTTCAAGCAGACTCCCCGCTGAGCACAGAGCCCAACACAGGGCTCAGTCTCATGACCCATGAGATCATGACCTAAGCCGAAACCCAAGAGTCTAAAGGATGCTCAACCGACTGAGCCACCTAGGTTAGGCGTCCCTGTGAATTATATTTCTCAAGTATGAGTTCCAGAATGCCTCCACCATAGGTACAGGAAAGGAGGAAGGTCAGCATTCAAGAACTCTTACTGAAAAAAAACTGTCCTGCTTTGATGTCTAGAAAATTTGTCTTTCCTCTAGAATTTCAAACATTTATTTGTAGTTTTTAATAATGATGGCTCTATTTAGCAGGGGCATAACAGTGAATTTGAGACTTAGTGAACTGAGCCTGTGTCTTGGACCCCCTTCCTGGAATTTGAAGCATTTTAAACAGTACAATACAGGGAGCTCAACAGATGTTTTTCTTGGCAAAGTTTTCCTTTTTCCTCTTCTCCTTTCTCTTTTCTTTCGTTAGGTGCACTCTGAAGATCATTTTAAGTTATTTTCTTTATGGTCAGTAGTTTTAAACCTGCTTTTCATTTCTAGAAATTTTTGTAAGGGTATTTCACTAAACCTTAGCACTGAGACTAATCCTCACAAGTTTTGTTTTTGGAACTACATATACATACATATATTTCACACATTAAAAATGAAGATTTATTTTGCATCAGGTTGGGTTGATTTGTTCTTAGAATATTAATTTCAGAAAGCTTGACTATGTCCCAGGAAGTGTGATTTCTTTTTTGAAGAACAGAAACCTGTAGTAACTTTAAATCAAATTCTAAGAAGTTAACTTGTCTTGCCCTTAATTGTTTTTACAGTTTTTGATGAGTGTGCCATTTTCTTTACTCTCTTTGCCCCTCCTGCATTGGATTTTGTAGACAGTGATGACACACTGTCGTATGACAACTAGTTCTTGCTCCCAAGGAAACAGCTGTGGTGAGAGGGCTGCCATCAGTCCTTCACGTGGACTTGAGAGGTGGTTCTTGTGTTAGCAGCTACAACCTTCTTGATGTGCCATTTGTCATTGTTTTCATTCATTCAGCACATTCATTCAGCATGTATCAAAGGAGTGCTCTCTCAGGTGCTAGATTGGACCTTGACTTGGGGAGACAAAGATGAGTAAGACGCAGCCCTTCTGGTTGTGGACTTTCACTTTCTGGACTGTGAGGGCCAGGGCATACACCCACGCACAACGCTGCAAAGGAGGTATGTTTGAAGTGCCAAGGAGCACAGAGAAAGGAGGAAATGACCCCGCCAGGTAGAGTGGGAAGATAAGAGGGTGGTTTTTTTAAGAGGGGAGTCTGAGCTGGGTGTTACAGGATTTGCCTGCCAGATCAGTACATTGCAGATGAGGGTGTGACCATGTCTGGCTTTGAGACTGGCAGGTGGTTAAGTTTGGCGGGTATTTTGGTAACTCTCTGGGAAAACAGATGAGGGTGGGCTGGGTGGGAGTTTGGACATTACGGCTACTCAGTAGGATTTGTGGTTTGATGTGTCTGGAGTCTGTTCTGAGGGTATTCAGTTACTTAACAGTGAGAAGGAGGCAGCGTACCATGTGGTTCAGGAGGAGGGCTGTTCTAGAACTGGGTGGGGCAGCAGCGGGAGGAGCCCTCCGGTGTGCCCTTGCCCCGGAAGCCTGGGGAGGGAGGTGGAACCAGCACCATGTTCTTGGCATGAACCTCGGGCTCACTGTGAACGGACAGCCACCCCTCCTTTACTAGGTTACCTCACAAGTGGTTTCCTCTCACAGCATGACTCTGACTCTGGCATTACTCAGAAAGGTATCTGGATAAACCTCTGAGACTGGGCTGTCACTTTCCTTACCCTGTTTTTTTCTTTAACACAGCAAATGGGGGATAGACACTGTCTTGAGCTGATAGAATCCACAACGGATTCTTCTAAAGTGAATCAAATGCAGTCTGAAGCCCTCTGTTGTCAGACACTGTGTTCTTCTGAAACCCTGGTGCCCACAGTAAGACAGTAGGGCAGTTTGAGGCAGTCATCCAAGATCACAGCCACAGCCAGGCTGATTCACACCCCCTGTTCAGGAAGCAAGGAAAGTGTGTTTGACAAAGGTTTAGAGTTTAAAAGGTGGCATTGCTTTCATCAAGGGGAAAAGCAGTTTTTCAAATAAACAGTGTTTAGGTCTTGGAAAGCTGCCTATTGAGAAGTAATTCATTTTCTGATGTTGCTAATAAAGAAGACGTTAGTGTTTTTGCCCTATATTGTGTATAAAAGTAAATACTTTGTAGGAATTATGAGTAATGATTACGAAATGATAGATAAGCTTTGACTATGTTATTCAGACAAGGTATTTTCTTTTGTTCTCTCAAGGGAGAGCTTGAAGATGTGCAGGAGACGCCTGCTCCAGAACCTACCCCTGGGAGTGTTTTGGTGGCAAATCTGAGTATCAGTTTACAAGATGACAGAAGTGAGGGGAGCAGTTTGCCCTCGTCTTCCACTAGTGATTCTGCACCACCGTGTGACGCCAGTTTCAAAGAAGATGCAGGTGAAAACACAGCCTTACTAGGTAAGTGCCTTGCAGGTTCTAAAACAAAATGATGTTAGCAGGTGGGGAAAATAATGCAGAAAAGCATAAAGGACAAATAAAAACCATAATCCCACACCTGCAAATACCATTTTAACATTTTGGTAAATACCTTTTCAGATGTTTTCTGTGTTTAAGGATGGGGAGAGTATCATATATGTGCTGTTAGGTAACCTGTTTTCCTCTTAACGTGTGAAGCTCTTTATGAGGTAGGTGTGTGATTCTGTGTGGTGCGGTATCACAGCTCCAGTTCACTAGAATTTCTTTAAACTGCACCCTTTTGGTGGAGTTCAGCACTTTGAAATCATGTGTATACCCACCACTTATCCAATTGCTTCTTGTCATTCTGAGAGATAAAATAGAGTGAATTGCCTTTATTATTATTATTATTACCGATGAGAGTACCTTTTCATAATTTTTCGTTGTTTTTATTCCCTCGGAGTAGCCTGTTTCATGTTTACCTTGTTTTGCTCTGGAGAAACTAATTTTTTCATTTCTTTGTCAAATGTATTGAATATTTCTCCCCCAATTTTGGTATCCTTTGGTTGATATAGTTTGTAGACAGAAATGTTTCATTTTTCTCTAGTCCAACATATTGTCTCATGATTCTGCCTTTGATAGCATGCTAACTTTGGAAGGCCTTCCTCATCTCAGTATCTAAGTATATTAATCCACATCTTACTAATATTTGTGGTTCTGTATTTTATTAGCTTTAAATCTTTAATCCACATGGTTGAAGAGAAGATTTAACCTACCTTCCCCAAATGTTTAAACAGTTGTCCCATTATTTTGTGAATTATTTTAGTGACTAATAATCTAGTGAATAATTATCAATATTTTGATATTGCCAAGGCAAATCCCTTCATCTTGAGTTAAAAAAAAAAATCTCTGTACTAGTCTGCATTTTTTTAAAAAGATTTTATTTATTTGACAGAGACAGCGAGAGAGGGAATACAAGTGGGGGGCAGTGGGAAAGGGAGAAGCAGGCTTTCTGCTGAGCCTGATGCTGGGCTCAGTCCCAGGACCCTGGGATTGTGACCTGAGCCAAAGGAAGATGCTTAACGACTGAGCTACCCAGGCGCCCGTATTCTACATTTTCTTAAAAAAAAAAAAAAGTAATCAAATTATTTGCTAAGTGAAAGAAAATCCAATTAGAATTTTTATTATAATCGAATAAATTTACATATTACTTTAACTGGGAAGAACTGATGCTTCTAATTTTGAATTTTGTCATTACGGGAAGAGGACACATAATTTCCAAATCAGTGATACTCAAACTGGAATCACTTTTGTATTTGACATGTTTAAGCTTTGAGGCAGAGATAGCTAGAAGTATTAGAACTGGGGTTTTAAACTGGTATCAGAGGGAAAAGACCACATTGTGAAAGAGAAGGGGAGCATTCATTTCATAACACTGGAAGGTGGAAAGGGCATTCTCCTAATTAGCTCCCTGGCCTCCTGCTGGGATTGAACCACCTCAGGGATTCCATCAAATTGAGCCCAAGTACATGCCAGTGTGATTTTTGCCATTGCCTTCAGTCTACAGAAAAGAAACTAAATTTCCTTTCTCTAGTACTTGACCACCCTTGAGATAATTAAATACTGCTGAGAATTCTTATCCTGACAGAATGTCTTTCAAAAGCAGTCTCCCATGTTTCCTGCATTCTTGTTACCTGACGTGCATTAGTTTATCAACATCTCTCCTCTCAGCTAAGATGATATCATGTGAAGTAGTGCATAGAAATAAAGGTGAAAAAAGAAGCTAGGCTATAGAACAACAGAATGTTAGATGCCTTCTGAAGAAGCTGGGCCCCCTTATACTTCCGTGTGCTTGCACACGTGTGTGTGTATGTGAGTACGTATGTGTGCCACGCATGTGTGTGTGCATGTGCACTTGGTTTCTATTTTATTTTTTTCTCTCCCCCCTTTTTAAAAATATTTACAAGTATTTGTTAACCAGTAAGTTGACAGGTAATTTTAAATGATAATGTTCTTTCTACTTTATCACCATACCAGTATAATTTTGAGAAATGTTAAATTGGAGAAATCAGTTCTTTTACGCAGACATTAGTACTTCCAGAATAAAATATGGCTTCACTTAAAGTTGAGAAAACATTTGCTGGGGTCTTAGGAGCAACCAGAAATAAAACATGGAAATTATTAATAGCAGACTACTTGCCGGAGGGTGTTTCCCTGGCGAGTGCTCCTTCTGTTGTCCAGTTGACCTTCTTGGCTCTGACTGTAGGTGAGTTCAAGTATTCTGAGTTTAAGGAGTATTCTGTTTCTGTAAGAAACCTTTGTACTTAAATTATTTTGTGTTACTCTTCCTAGTAATAACAGTCTGTCCAGAGTTAAATACCTGTTCCTCTTCCAAGATAGATTAACCTCACTGTGCCTGTGCTTAATCATCTGTAAAATGAGCATAATAATATCCTAGTCCTCATTGGGTCACATACATAATCCAGTAAATGCTCGCTCTTTTCATGGGCAGTGGTGACACCGTCATCATCGTCGTTGTCACAGCTCTCTGGTTTACTTTTGAAAACATACACTAATACCACCAACTAAGACTGTCTTTTCTTTATAGCCCCATGCTGATCAGAGTAATGTTGGTTAGACTAATACTAGAAAACCTTTCATAATATATATGTGAAGAAGATGCTTGTATATTTTTCATGACTTTCTGAAATGAGTTGCCATTTTTACATGTAAGTTTTGTTTCAATTTTTCTGTTGTTTCTTGAATTATAGCCTCTAAAGGGTCTGTTTATGTAATTACAGTTCAGAATATGCGAAGTGACATTGGTTTTTGTTGCTTTGTTGTAGAAGCGGGCAGGAGTGACCTGCAACGTGGTGGACCCATCTCCTCGCACACATCCTGATGACCACATCATGGATAGAGCTTTGGCTCGAATTAAAGGACTTTTTTTTTTAACTTCAGCACATAGTTTGTATATTTGAAAATAATGTACATTCTTTTACCTTTCAGATTTTGATTTGATATCCAAAGGGCTATTTTATTCTTAAAGAGACATTTTGATTAGTTTTAATATATTTATCTACTAAAATGTATCATTTATGATAAACAGTATGTTGCTTTGGACTATTACAGAGACCATTAGGAAGGCACTCTAAAGGTCGGGGTATGTTTCTGAATAGTAGACTAGCTGCTACGGTACTGTAAAAACAGGATTAATTTTGCTTCTCAAGGATGATTTTAGACTGAGCAACTGAATTTAGACCAGTGGAAATGCAATTGTATAATTCAGTGATTGATCATGAGTTTTCCCTGGAGGAAAGACTTTTCTAGAACATTAAACCTGTGAATGAGATGAGAGAAATCTATAGCTTTCTTGAACCTCCATGTCATCATCCAGAGACGTTGAAATCTAAGAAGACTTCTTCATTATTTTCTCTTGGAATTATAGGAAAAGCACTAGATGACTTTAGGATTTGCAGTTTTCCTTTTTAAATCCTAATTTCTTATGACACTTAAAGGAGAGGGAAATTTGTCCATTTTTTCTACAAATTAAAAAAGCTAAGATTCGTCTGCATCACACTTGAGCAATAAATTTTTCATTGCCTTAAAATTTAAAAAAAAATTTTTTTTCATTGCCTTAAGGAAATCGAGTAGGCAGACTTTTTTTTTTTTAGTATATGATGACTGTATTGGTCCCAACTACTATTTAATCTTTACAACTAAAAAGGTAATAGATGGAGAATTTTGATTGTCCCTACAAAATAAACAAGCAACCAGTTTTCTTGATTGATTTAAAGCAGACTTAATGATGACCTTGTGTCATCTATCCTTTTTAAAATCTTGGCTGTTCTTGTAGGTGAAAGGGTCAGGTTAATGTAAAGCTTTTGGAAATTGTGCTCTTAAGTTTTCTAAAATGATTAAGCACACACATAGTCTTCTCCCTCTTGGAGGTGAAAGTGGAGGAGGGTGAGGGAGAGTTACCTCTTAACTGTTGTCCTTTGTTCCTTCTAAGCTAGTTGCTGTGTATATCTTTATTTTGTGAGTAAAAAATAAATGTCTGTTGAGAAAAATACAACTTTTAAAAATCTAAAGAATTTATTCTTAAAGCTGCATCTAAGTTGTGTATAGCTTATTTTTTTAAAACTGTTTGTTGCACCTGGATTCTAGCCATAGTGAAACACTTGGTGAGTTTTACTTTTTCTTTTTTTCCACTTTACTGAAGTAAACTCTGGCCAGGTTCAATTTGAGGAGCTGCTGAAATAGAAAATTTGTCTTTGAGCTCCATTTTAACAGCCTCAAAGTAGGTTTCCATAATAGCCATTATTTTTGAAATCTCCCTTCTGTGGGTTTTTGAGAATAGGAAAGTATGTCCTTGATTCTGTACCAAGTAGATTTTTTGCTCTTTGTATTTTAAGATACATACTTGGGAGAAATGCTTTAATTAATAATTCTCTATAGTATCCAATAAAGCAGACTTCTAAAAAGAATACTATGACAGATCAAGGTATATTGTTTTTGATAATTACACAAGTGTGATTTCTTTATTAGCAGCTATCAGACATAGCTTTCCTTAATTAAAGAGTTTGAACACTAAACTACAAATAGAAGAGATTGGAAGAATTGTAGTGGTCTGGTCTCATCTCTAGAAATATGTCTTCAATAGCAGAGAAAGGAATTATCAAGAGAAAATAGAAAACTGTAATACTTTGAAAGTTCCGCTAGGCTTTTTTTTTTTTAAGATAGAAATAAATATGATAGAGAAGGGTCTCCCATCCAAGTACTAGCCAGGCCTAACCCAGTTTAGCTTCTGAGATAAAATATTAGCAGAATTTTTGCTGAGACATAAAATTGATGAAATGCTACTCAGAATAATGGGGAATGTAAGGAAGGAAGAGTAAACCAGAGAGGTTTGGTTAAGGTTAGTCATACTATTTATGGCAATAATTTTCCTTTTAACAGTTGTCATAAAAGCCTTTTTTTTTTTTTTTTTTAAGCAAATAGTGTAGAAACAATATGTACTTTTTTTAACTTTCAAAGTCATAGGCAGTGTGTGAAGGAAGCAGCTTGGCTGTGAACTTGAAGCACTCCGTCATCTGCTGCCTGCTGGCACTGCTTCTGGGTTTCCCTCCAGAAAACCACAAAGGCCAGGAGTGGTGCAAAAAAACAGAGCACCTTCAGCAGGTAAACCTCCTTGCTTGGTGACTTTTGGGGGATCTTCAATATATAAAACCTTCCCTGAGAGATTGTTCCCTGCAGTCACTGAGGAGTGATGACAGTAAAAGGCCGAATTGCAGTGTGCCCATCAGCAGTTTGCTCTCTGTGGGGTGCACGATGACAAAATCTCCGGAAGCGAACCACTGGTCTGACCTCAGTAACATCAGGACTGAAGTTTTGCACTTGGGCAGGCTTTCCAAGAGGGGTCTCCCCCCCCCCAAAAAAATCTCAGGTATTTTTAAGAAAAAATAATCAGTGAATCTAAGCCATCAGCCCTTAAATGAGTAGTAGATAACTTTCTTCATACTTTACAATATACTTGCTAAATCAGGAACTGCTAGAACCATAAAGAACAGGTGTGTTCCCACTTGGATGAAATGCCTAGTATAACCAAACTCCCTAAGAGGATAGCTTAATTGGCAAGTCTCTTCTTTTGAGAACATTAAAGTTTATTTGCTCAGTGAAGGCTGAGATTAAATCAGTATGTGTATGTTACTGACTAGAACTTGAGATAATTACATGTTTGGTCAAAAGGAGTTTCTTTGAGCTCAGCACAAACCATATTTTGTGATTTACAAAGCACAGGATGCTGGCCTGAACCAAAGTGAGTCTTGTGTATGACATACGCTATGCTTCTGTGATGCAACAACCAATTAGAAAAGCCACCTACGCCTTTCCCAGTTAATTTCATTTTTGAAGTTTTAAAAAGACAAGCATTTCACTTTAAAAAATGCTAACATGTAATTGTTATGAAAGTGAAGTTTCAACAATGTCATTATCAGCCATGCAGCTAAAGATTTGCTCTTATTCTAACAGCAAAGTATAAAATAAGTTATAAATTGAAAAAGATATGTGCATCCCATTAATTTAAGAATAAAAAAGTCAATCCCTTCTTCTTGATGTGTAAGCTTGTATATTATGGGCTAATGAGAAACCTGGGAACACCAGTACTTCCTGTGGGCTTGACTGCACAGGTATTGGATCCCAGGATTCTAAGTGCTTTTGGAAGCATCTTAGGGATTTTCTGCTAAGAACAGTAGTGATTGCATTTAAAAAAAAAAAAAAAAAAAAAGATTAAAGTGAAACCAGCAAAATGTCTTAGTAGGTAGAGGGTGCAAGAATTTTAAAGAATATGTAAAAAGTTCTTCCCACACATTAATTTTTCAGATATCTTTAAAATGGTAAAGTGCTATTACTCAAAGTATTTAAAATAGGTACATGAGGGGCACCTGGGTGGCTCAGTCGGTTAAGCGTCCAACTCTTGATCTCAGCTCAGGTTTCAGTCTCACAGCTGTGAGTTCAAGCTCCACACCTGTTGTGGAGCCTACTTTTAAAAAATTGTTTAAATTTTTAAAATTTAAATACAGGCTCCATTGTTTTTCATGGAATGAATCATTACAGAATGTATTAAGGGTGGTACATGCTGCTTAAAAGTTTGTGGAAATGGGGGTGCCTGTATGGCTCAGTCGGTTGAGCATCTTACTCTTGATTTCAGGATTGTGAAATCTAGCCCCATGTCTGGCTCCCTGTCAGTGGGGAGTCTGCTTAAGACTTTCTGCCCCTCCCCTGCTCTCTCTCAAAATAAATCTTTAAGAGAAAAAAAAGATTGTGGAAGTGTATACTCTGTAAGAAAGGTGATAACCATTTCTTTAAAGTTTAAATGTATAAACACTTAAGAGAATTATTTGAAATAGTTATAGTTTAGGATCCCTAAATTACTTTATTTTTTGAAGTATCTTTTATTTCTAGTCTAAGATGTAACTTAGTGCTGTCTTAACAGGTGATCTGAAGATTTTACAGCTAGAAACTGGAGCTAGAAAATCCGGAGAATTCAAGCTGTGTTGTTTTAAACATGGCAGTATCTTGAGCTACATTTAAAAGCTGATTACAGTTAACTGAATTCCAGGATTGTAATTTATTTCAGGTAAACTTTCTTCTACCTTTAAACATGTTTAAGAACCTTTTGCTGGTGTTGTAAATGTAAACCTGACTTTTCTTTTTAAAATGTTCCCCTAGGGGTGCCTGGGTGGCTCAGTGGGTTAAGCGCCTGCCTTCGGCTCAGGTCATGATCTCAGGGTCCTGGGATCAAGCCCCACATCCAGCTCTCTGCTCAGCAGGGAGCCTGCTTCCCCCTGTCTCTGCCTGCCTCTCCCTACTTGTGGTCTCTCTCTCTGTCAAATAAATAAATAAAATCTTTTAAAAAAGTAAAATGTTCCCCTAAATATTACTAGCTGTTCTTTGTAGGCCAGAGTTAAAAATCTTTTCTCTTTCAACACCAATAGTCTGATCTTGAAATGATTAGCAGTAGTCCATCTCTTTATATGCAGAGTCCATGTTTGTAAATTTGCCTACTGAAACTTATCTGTAACCCCAAAATCAGGATGTGTCTGACATACGCTATGCTTCTGTGATGTGCGGTGCTTTGGCAGTTGTGGTGGACACATACCCATACAATGTGGTGAAAATTTTGAGGCACCAAACACACTTTTCCAGTTGAGGTTGAACAAAAGGACGCTTTCCCTTCTTGTTTCAGCTCTCAAACTGTCAATACTGTGTCCTCTTCCACAGTCTGTTTAGTACATGTTTTCTAAAATTTTGTACCTTGGTGATTTCAGTTGAAAATGGCACCCAAGTATAGTGTTATCTACTGTTCTGGGCACATAGAGGCTGTGAAATGCCGTATAGAGAGAATACATGTTAGATAACTTTGTTCAGGCATGAGTTACAGTGCTGTTAGCCACGCATTCAGTGTTACCAGAGAATCAGTAGGTTCTGGAGCTTGAGTTTGGGTTGCTTCTGCAGTGGTCCAAACTTTGCCATTCCAAAAAGTTATCTGCATAATGAACGGTTTCTTTTCCTAAACCAAGTATGTAAAACAGTGATGTCCACTTTTAGGTATGGACAGAAATCAAGGTTGCTAAAATTTTGTATGTTTAAAGGCATTCCTCTTGTTATATTGGTTTGGGTTCTTCTTTCCTTTAAGTATATTTACAAATACCTTTCATAAGAATAGCTAACATAAAATTTCTTATAAATCTAGTGGGAGTATACACTTTTGCCAATAATAAAAGACTGAAACTTATTTTTACTCATTTAAAAGGACACCATACCTAGTGGTTTTAACTTTTGCTGAGGGTTAAACTGGAAGGTAATTCTTGTTGAATAGATGATTTCCCTATAAAGAATATAGAGAGGCACCTCAGTAAATTCGGAATTTTTCACGGTTTCTTCAAGTAAAAAAAACACATCAGATGATACAGTTCATAAAAAACTTTAATGTAAGGCACTGTTGTCCAAAGTTAAGTGAGGAGTAACAGCCCACACGATGCCACCTTGTTCTACGTTGCAAACAGGCCATCTGCCCTACCATAGGCAGCAGGTACAGTTCCCACTCAGGGAGGTTTTACCTGAGTAAAACCTCAGTGGTGATATCTCCCAAAGCATGGACTAATACTTTTCCTTAAAACAAAAAAATAACTATCTTAGACTTATAACTGAAGAACTAACAAACATCTCAAGAAGAAAAAAACAAAACTTAGACCAGCTATTGTAGTCTCCAAAAAAGGTTTCTAAGAGTTCCCATGTTTATAAGAGGCCCAAGAAATGCATGTATTTTTGTTGTCTGTTAAGTACCCATGACAAGAAAGGATCAAGTTAGAAGCATGTCCTTAGTTCAAACTGTCCTTCGTGAGAAATTAAGGGCTATACGCACAAATGGGTTTCAGGACCAAACTTCTATTTGCCACTTGATTCAAAAACATTCAACTGATTTCATCTCAAGGGCAGTATGACAAATTCTTAAGAAAACTAGATTCTCAATTTATCAGTAGCCTGTAACTTGTATTTGAAACAAAAACAGGCACTTTGCTCTACAGTGCTAAAACTTCATCTACTTGTTTGCAGTAACTTCTTGTAGATAACCGTTACTCCTGATCATCAGCAAGACATCTAAGAGACACATTTTTCCAAGTTCTTACGAAAAAGTCATCTAGGAAGGGAAACTTTTGCTTTAAGTAGATAAAGTGGTGTTTATATGCATTAGGCCAAACGATCCATTCAAAGTTCTAACAGTTTTAAAAATTAAGTCACAATACAGCTGAACAATGAACGTGGTTCATCATACTGATGAGGTATTATTTTGACATTTTGGTCTCAGAAGGTGTTTCTCCAGTATCCAGTGTCTTCAACAAACGAAAAAGGCCAGCAGCTTCTCGTATCCTACTGAATTCAATACAGAATGCCTGCACTTCTATAAACAAGTCCTGCACATTAATAATTTTGTTACGGATCAAGGACTGGAGAAAGACACACACAAGACGCACCAAGCGATTCTGGGGGGGGGAAGAAAAAATTAGTGTACCCGTTTTCTTGGCAGGTATGTATAAAATTTACTAAAATTTCTGTTACTTACCTGCATATATTTATCCTTAATTTGTTCACAAGTAGAGATGCAATTTGATATATAAAGGTGAATAAATTCCGGAGGTAGATCAACAGCTGTAGTTAGTCTGTTTCATAAAGTTAAAAAGTTAGGGCTATTAAATACTGTTAACCAAAGAGAAATTTTAGATTTTATGGTTATTTAGTGAAAATTTCTGATTTATGATCAGTTCCCTAGCTTTAAACATTTATGCAAATAAGCCTGAGCCTGTCACCCTGGTTGTTAATAAAGGACACTTCCATTTTTTAAGTGTATACTTAGCATTATACATGGTAATTACTCATTTTTTTTTGCACACCACATTTCTGTGTGATTTTGGTTGAATCAGAGTTCACACTCTCATAAGTAACATTTACTAAATCCCAATTATACCTAAGTGCTATGGAAGGTGGCATATCTGAGAAGAAGGTATAGTTTAGTAAGTTGATAGTATACTATATAACTTAAATGCTTAAAAAAAGGGGGGTTGTAAGAAGCAGTGTAAATGAAAAGATGGGAAAAGCCTTGAGAGGTCAAGTGGCTTAAACTGAAACCTGTAAGTGTTCCTAATAACCTAGTGAATGATCAGATGAAAAGCTTGGAATCTAGGATTAATGTGGTATATTTAGGAACACTGGTAGAGAGCGGGATAGAATGTGACAGAAGGCATAGTAGCATATTGGAGTCTTAAAAAGGAAAGCTGGTATTTTCCAAAGGATTCTGTGGAATGTTTAAGGAAAACAAAAAGATGGGATGGGAATTCCATTTTTAGATAAAGAGATGCTATGCTAACTATACACTGTGCATTTCCAAAAGAAATGTGAAATTTGACTGTAAAACCTTCCATAAGGCACTGAGGAACCATGGCTCTGAGGAATAGTGCTATGGTCTCTTGAGAGGAGGAAAGATGGGGGTGGGGGGCACAAGGAACAGACTTTGTCCTTGAAATTATTCTCTAGAAAGAATAAACTGATAAAAAATATGTGGTTAATCTTGGACTAAATACCAAGTATCTGGTGAAGACAATAATCCTGTAAGAATGTAGTGAAGGGGGAGCAGTGGTAGGTCAATCCAAGGACTGGAGTCGAAGGAAGCCCCTGAAGGAAGTATGAGTCTACAGAGGGGAAAGGCTTGTGCAGGAGAATGCAGAAATGAGGTAGTATATTTTCAACAAGCAGCTAACGAGTTTTGCCAGTGACAGAAAAAAAAGTTGAAAACCTCATGCTTCCTCCCCCTCCCACTCTAGAAAGAACACTCTTACACATGTTACTTGTGATCACCTGGCTTTCAGTCAGGCTTTTTCTCAACGGCTGATTAGCTTAAAAGCAGAGTCTTTAGTACAATTTCAAGAAGGTTAAAAAAAAAAAAAAAAACACAACCCTTAAAATTTGTTGCAAGCCCCCCTCCCCCACCCGACTGAGTATAAAAACTTACCGATTTACAACTTCCATTGAATGCAAAGACATGTCCATGTTGACCAGGACGGAAAAATACTCCGTGATCTGGCTTGACTGCATTAACTTCAGCAGCATTTCTATAGCAACCAGAGGGTTGTTTTCCACCAGGTCAGGAAGTTTGGCTGGAGTGAGGCCAATATGATAAACGAGTTTGGGGTCTTTTTCCAGCTCACCCAAGAGCTAAATACAACCAAATTTTTAAAAAAGAGGTTATTGAGTCAAATACTCTCTTTCCTGCTTATAAAAACAAGCTATAAAATTGTCTGCATTGAACCAACTTCATAAATTTCTTCCCTCAAGCCATTAAAATCATGTCTTGATTTTCAAATTTATAACTGAACTGTAAAGACTGTTTATAAACATGCTAGTGAGCCCTCCTGGGCATTAAACCAGCCTCAGTACTGCCTGGTTGGATAGAATACTGTCTGGATTATAACAGTATCACCCTTAATACCTCTGTAGACTTTTTCTGTCATCTGTTAGAACCTAAAGTAATTTAATTGCCAACCGGCTCTCCAGAAAAGCACACACCACAGAGAGCTGAGGGACATGAGAAACAAGAGCACGAATCCTTGAGGAGAGAAGCAGGACAGGAAGACGGAGAGCTGCCCTCTGTACAGTTACAGTGCACAGTTCAGGTCCAGCTCACACTCTGTAACCTAAAGAGGTATATTCAAAAACATTTCTGCCAAATAAGTGCTTTTTCTTACAAATTGTCTACACTGTTTCCCCTGCCTACCTGCAAATAAGAACTGTAAACACAGCTATTACTTGACTTTGAGAAATACCATTTTTTTGGTGTAAACTGGATTAGAAGTGTCAGTATATCCTCACAAGTTCTAATGTGAAAGTATGCAAGCTGGATAATAAAATTCACCAAACAAAGCACACACCAGGTGTCCTTGCCTTCCCCCCAAGGGGAGTCTTACACTTGGGCAGCAGGAGCTACTCTCAATCTCCGATCCACCATTACTAACCAGATGTGTGATGGAGGCTAGTTTACCTTCCCTGGATCTCATTTTCTTTCTCCTTAATGGAATGTTAATAATCTCAGGTACCCTCAGTAGAGTTATTGTCCAGCTTAAATGTAACAATGTATACAGTGTGCCAAAAATGTGAAATCTGTCTTTCCCCTCCAGAGTAAAATGACCAAAGCTGGAAAAGCAGAACAAAGATCCAGAGAGCCAAGACTCCTTGGATCCAAAACACTTCCTACTGCTGGCTCCTGTTGACAGGATCATTTATTATTTATCATGTGGAAGATTAAAGACAAAATGCTTACAATAAATATATACCTGTGTTTGTTGAGGAGAAGATAAGGGGCTTTTGAAGGCTTTGGCCATTATTCGCTTGATCTCCACACCAGTGCTGTTCTTGACACACATTGATTTGTCCCACTGAATTGCATGGTCAGGCTCTGTTGGATTCAGCCAAGCCAGCTCATCCTCGCAAACGTGGAGTGGAGGTGGTGGACGAATAAACTCTGGGCGGAAATGGCCTGTAATAAGAATAGGAATGTTTGCTTCTATCATCAGTAAGCTAACACCTACACACATCTACATAAAACTCTCAGACTTCAAAATCCAAAGCAGAGAGGATATAGAAAGTCAGGGTTTTATTCAGAATACCAACAGAATAAAACACTGACCTAACGTTACCATGCTAGAGACCAAATCTATTTTTCAAGAGAGAAAGAAAATACACCATGATCTGATTATCTTTAATTCAAGCATGATCACCACTCAGAAGCAAAGGATACAACTTCACATACTGGTAAAAGTTCTGATGGGAAAAATTAAATGCTATTTGATCTTATTCATCCTACTCTTAGTTACCACAATTTTACTCAGAGACCACTATTATTTGTACTGATTATTTTCTTTGCATCTTACAACCTTGAGGTGGCAAAATGGAGATGAAATATCAGGAAACAGAAAAGCATAGCTGCCTTTTAACATTTTCAAATGAATCTGGAGACTTTCATAAATCCCTAAATCCATAAATCCCATATTCATTTTCATAAGAGACAATAAAAGTACAATCAGAAAATGCAGTGACTTACTACCTCAACTATTTTTGATACAAGATTGATCTCTAAGTTATAAACCAACTAAAATAAATGCTGGCTAGGATTTTCACTGAATAAATTTCACAGGGCCTAAAATGGCCTATTCTGATCATGGATCCTAGCCCCTGCCAAATGTGAGATTAGTTTATTGATAAGATTTTCTGGCTAAGAATCTTCGGTCATTCTTCACTCTCATCACTAGGACTAGCATCTCGATCTTTTCAGACCATTTACAGGAAAAAACAAAATTATTATCACTTCCTCAGAAGTACTACTTATATGATAAGGAAAACATTCCCACAAGGTAACTGATTTGCTTTTCACATATATTTCTGGTGGCTCATGCAACACAAAGTTGTGCCTAAGCAAGTATTAAAAAAAATCAGTATGTGCCATTGGCTGAGACTTCAGATATTAAGCTCATTTATGACAAAGATCTGATAATGACATTAAAGCCATGTAAGTTTTAAACTCCTGGTAACACTGTAGTTTGAAGAACATTTTCTTATTTTTAAGCATAAAGCATGCCTTCATCATTAAAACATAAAACATAGGGGCGCCTGGGTGGCTCAGTGGGTTAAGCCGCTGCCTTCGGCTCAGGTCATGATCTCAGGGTCCTGGGATCGAGTCCCGCGTCGGGCTCTCTGCTCGGCAGGGAGCCTGCTTCCCTCTCTCTCTGCCTGCCTCTCCATCTACTTGTGATCTCTCTCTCTCTGTCAAATAAATAAATAAAATCTTTAAAAAAAAAACATAAAAGCCTGTGAAACCAAAAGATATAGCTGTATTATTTCAAGTTCAGTAGATGTTTTCTTTGAATTAAAGTAAAATAAGAACTATAAGATCAGTAAAATTTTATAAGGGAGAAGGTAATGAGAGTGATAAGATTAATAAAGCACTATAAAAATATACAGAAGACTCATTTTAGTAAAATTGGAATTTATATCTTCAGGAATGCTACTGATAATAGAAAACTTGATGTGTAATTTTATTAAAGAAGAAACTAACTTAACTGACCACCTCTACTATGTTCTAGTAGACACTAGGAGATTATTTACTGAATTCAAGTTTAAGGAGCAACAAAAAATAACACCATGTTTTAAAACAAGCCTCAGGATGCTGGTAAAATAAAACCCAAGTATATAAAATTATATATACCTACTTTCAATAGGTGGCTTTGGTCCACTGACTAAAGCTTCTGTGATCTGAGAGGCAACCGAGCTGTCAAATCCAGAATTAGAAGAGTCTGGGTCTGGGTCACTGAGAATACTAGG